TGTGTGTGTGTGTCTGTGTAAGCCTGTGCGTGTGCGTGTGCGTGTGCGTGTGCGTGTGTGTGTGTGTGTGTATGTGTGTGTGTGTGTGCGCTCAAGGTGACGAGCATTGAGGCTCAATGCACTAGGAGCGGGTGCTATTCTTTTCACCAGGAGAATGAGGTTAAGTGCAGTGCTACGCAGTTGGGAAAACGTGAGATGACTATCGAGGCTAATGAGTGACCCTGGGCAATATAGTTCTGCATCTGTTAAGGCAAGAGCACTTGAAAGAACTGGGGATGAGAGGCAAGGGATGGAGGTGAGATGGGGAATCAAACCAAGGGGGTGCAGTGCCATGGCAATGGAGGCGCAGAGTTGTTCAAATCTTATGGGAATTCTTGCCAGTGGACATAACTGGGAGCAGCATGAGTGGGTAAGGTTGATGCATTCTTCCTTACCATTGTCAGCACGCCCAAAAGCAACTCTCTACGGTAGGAACCATGGCCTGGGTGCGTGCTTTCTAATTGAAGAAAAGGAAAATATGAAGAAGAATCCTGCACACAAAATGTAATGGAGGAGAACAACCCTCCCCTCTTCAAATGAATTCCACCTGTCACCAGGAATGGAGAGAAAAATGCACGCGCTTACCCTCCAAATTGCCAAAGTCACTGTATTCGTGTTCTGGTTTGCCATCAACTAAGTTGTCCAGAAATAAAACTTCGAGCTCATTCGAACATGAAGAGATCCTGCTAAGGGACAATTGAAACGAAGTTCAAACAAAAAAAAGAAAGTTTAACAAACACTACAATTTATAAAATATCATCAGCTGTATGAATCTTTTAGCCAGATACAAATCATACAAGTGTATCAAAGTAGTTGGAGACCTCGATATGGAACAATTGGTTTTCTCACTTTTCCTTGACCTTAAACCACCAGTACAGCAGGCACAATTTTGTCAAACCTAAAACTTCCTGGTCCTGGACGAATCCAATAGGTCGCTGATAGGCCGGTATAAAGAAAGCACGGCCTATAAAGTGCACGACCTCAACTTTCGGTAGAAGGATCCTGGTACTGGTGTGGTTAGAACCCCCACTCCATCTGAGTCTTTGAGGATCTTCATTGCCAAGCCTGTTGGGATTTGCCGGTGCCACTCTCAAACCCTGGTCAGGGCAGACGCAAGAACCCACTTTTCTGCTTGCCAGTCGCTTTTCAACTTTCTGAACACTCTTCCCATTAAGCTCCGTGATTTGACAGAGGTGGACCATGGCTGCTATTTTTCTCAATCGGATGCCATTTTGATCGCATCACAGCCCTCGACCTACTCCAAATGCCACAACCTCACCGGTACTATGTGAGGCCCTTCTATACAGCTGTGCTGTGCAGCGGCCATCAGACATACTACTGGCACCTTAAAACATCCTAGTTCTTTTCTGAGCAAGGTTCACGCGCATAAATCAGGAAAAGGTCCACTTTTCTGAAAGAAGAAAGTGCAAAGTCTGTTGGGTCATGCAAGTAAATATGTAGGTCACACGGTGGTGCTGTGCATTCCCTTCAAGATTCCACAAAAGTCACTTCCACAGCAGGTAATGTAAAGCGATCACACATGTCACATAACTCATAATGCATCTAGCCAAGACACTTCACAACTATGATTCTGACATTCCCACCAGCATTCAAGGAATGAAAATATGCATAAACAGAATCATCATGTGTATCATTGCCTACTTCTCTTCCTCGTCCCTCAGAATGTGATACAAAACATAACAAAGGATTGTGCATCTACTTCACTGAAACTCTCTCTCTCTCTCTCTCTCTCTCTCTCTCTCTCTCTCTCTCTCTCTCTCTCTCTCTCTCTCTC